TTTTTTCTAGTCATTATATTCTGATATCTTTAAGTAATAGAGTATTAAGCGTGTGATTCCAAGGTGAAATGAAAATATGCTATTTTAAAATTTTTTTTTCATTTTTATTTCATAGCTTTCTTTATTATCATTTTATGATACAGTTCCACAGGCTCTGGGATTCCCCACACCCCCTCCAAAGTACCCCTACATTATTACTATACTCCAGTTCTTTATAAACAGTCTATGTCCATCATTAAGGGCATGGACAATGACAGAGTCCAGCTTCCTATTATCAAGTTTCACCTAGAGTCCATTTCTGGTCTGGAAGTAGAAATGCATAACGCATTGTATTCTCACATTCCCTTAAATGAAAAATTACAATACAAAATCAGCAACAGGAAGAAAAAGAGAAATATACAATGCCATGAAGTTAAATAACATGCTACTAGATATAAGAGTCTTTATTACTATACATCCCCTTAAAAGCCACAAAAACAGGAAAAAATTAACAATGCCATGAAGTTAAATAACATGCTAAATAATGTGTCACTGAGGAAAATCAAGAACCTTCTTGAAGAAAATGATGCTATGCAGAAGGAAGGGTAGGGTAGGATAGCCCTAAATCTGTATCATGAAATTTATTCACTTCATATATATATATTTTAAAGCTGGGAACTATTTTTAAAATAATAATAATAAAGAATTGGGCCCAGTGCTGTATCCTAGCAGCTAAAGTCTTCCCCTTGAATGCACTAGGATCCCATATGGGCACCGATTCTAATCCCGGTGGCCCTGCTTCCCATCCAGCTCCCTGCTTGTGGCCTGGGAAAGCAGTCAAGGACAGCCCAAGGCCTTGGGATCCTGCACCCACGTGGGAGACTTGGAAGAAACTCCTGGCTCCTGGCTTCAGATTGGCTCAGTTCCAGCCATTGTGGCAGCTTGGGGAGTAAATCAGCCGATGGAGGATCTTCTGCTCTTTCTCTCCTCTCTGTATATCTGATTTTACTATTAAAAAACAGATCAATCTTCTAAAAAGTAATAAAGAATAAAGAAAGAAAAAGGTAGTAGATTGACATTTTTTGGCTGTTGGCTAGAGGTGAAGGATTCTCTGATAACTCTTGTGGCACTGTGAGTAAATTCTAACCTTGGAGACTTTGACAACAGAATTTAACTCGTTTTGCCAAATTGGTGGCAATGTTCTGCTGAGCCCCAGGAAACCTGCTGGCCAAGCACACATCAGACCACAGAACCCATATCTTTTCACACAGTGTTGACTTGGTGACGTGGTTTACAACTTCCAGTGAGAGTGTCAGAGTCAGGGGGTAAATTGGAGCCTACAGAGGAAGCGAGCTGCTCCCGATCAGCAATGACATACAGAGGGCTTTGCTGTGGAAAGCAACACTGCTCTCTTGTTTCTCATTCTTCCTCATCAGGAACAACCCGTTCTCTTATCGTAGCCCAGGAAACAATGTTACACGTGATGAATAAATCTCATCTAAGACTTTTTTATGTTACTTACTGAAAGATTATCAAAAAAACTTTAAACAGTTACTAATCTTAATTTCATAAACTCATGACTCAAACTTGATTCTGTAGTTATGCTAGCAGTGAATATCATGAGAAATCTCACAAATAGTTATGTAACTGCTGTTTTCCTTATAAGATTGATCTTCTGGTCATTACATATTTAACCTACATGTGACTGTGTTGAATCAAATATCTGCTAAATTGACTATTCAAAGCTAGGTGTTCACTACAGCAGTTCCTACAGCACTTGGAAGTGCCTGGGCTCACTGCAATGACTGGATTCATGTCCCACTCACTCTCCAGATTCCAGCTTCCTGCTAATTCAGACTCTGAGAGATAGCAGCTGATGGTTCACTTAGGTCTGTCCATCCACATGGGAGTTGAGTTGACTTGAGTTCCTGCCGTTGTGAGAATTTCAAGAGTCAGCTTGTCGCTTCAAAGCCTCCCATGTTGGATTATCTGGATTTGACATCTGTCTCTAGCAACAATGATGACTGAAATAATTGAATTCCTGCCATCAAGACATGACACCTGGCTGGAATTTCTGGCTTACGCCTGATCCTACGGTGCGTGTCACATGCACTTGGAGAGTGAACTAGTGGGTGGAGAAGGACCTCTCCCCTCTCTTTCCTACCTCTTTCTTTTTTCTCTGTCAACCCTTTTGTTTAAAAAAATAAACAACCCTTTTGTTTAAAAAAATATAAAGAGCAGTTTTCAAAACTCAATATAAACCAGGGCAGATGCCTTGGCTCAACAGGCTAATCCCCCAACTTGTGGTACCAGCAGCTCATGTTGGGCACTGGTTCATGTCCCAGTTGCCTTGGTTCTGATCCAGCTGTCTACTTGTGGCCTGGGAAAGCAGTGGAGGAAGGCAAATCTTGGGGTCCTGCACACATGTGAGAGACCTGATGTAGGCTCACGGCTTCAAATAGCTCAACTCTGACCATTGAAGCCATTTGGGAAGTGAACCAGTGGTTCTCTCTTCTCTTTATAAATCTCTTCTCTTTATAAATCTATCCTTCAGATAAATATAAAATAAAAATATATGTAAATCATTTATAAGTGCTATAAAATAGATTCTGGTAAAAAAACATTGTAATCCTTTAATAAGACTAGAGACTGTCCACTTTTAAGATATGTCCACATCACACTTGGTTGCACTTTAAAAAGCAAGAATTTAAACAAACTTGTTTTTATTTTGGATAAAATTCAACTTATCTAGAAAGATATGGAGTTAATAAAACCCATTCTAAGTTATTTCCTTTTTTCTTCCACATTTAATTTTCTACATTTAATTTTAATGTGAAATTTTAGTAATCATCCATATTTTACAATAGCTAGAACAATAATTAACTTTTTATTTCGGAATAATTATGCATTTACAAAGCAAAAATTATGATTACGATGTTTCCCTTAAGACTCATATTGTGGTTTCCAGATTGTTAATGGTGTATTAGTATCATATATTTGCCACAATCCTGGCTAGAGAAAGAGAGAAGGGAGGAGTTCAATGTTTTAAAAAGTTGATGTGTTTAAATCTGAGAAACTCTTATATCAAATCTACATACCTGTCCTCTGAGAAAATTTGTTTGCATTGTTTAAATTTCTACAGTCAGGAGACTACAGTTTTTCTAAGGGGAGTCATCAAACTGATGTTTAAGTGTTACCAGAGGTATGCATAAATGTCTGAATAAGTGGTATCAGTCAAAACTGATTTGTTTAAAATAAATGTGTGTTTGAACATGATTTGACATCTGTGATGACTGATAAATTTATCAATTCAATCATGGAACCGTAAAATCTGAAGAAGTAATGTGTTCATCTAAACTTTGGAAAATTATCTGTGAATTTCCTTGTTATTCTTGAGGCAATATTGAACGTTTTAGTTCTGGTAAGATAGATAACACTCTATTCATCATGGAAGCAGGGGTTAGGTGTAACCCTTGTTAGTCATTCAGTCTCCACCTGGACCCATAAAATGTCAAAAACTTTACCAGAAAATAAAGTTATCTATTTACTTGGGATGAAAACATAAAAGGCTTGACTTGTAATTAATCTTAGAGACACTTTGCATAGCACTCATGTGCCATATACACTTCGAGGACAATTCTGCATGATAGGTCTCATGGCATAAATCATGCTGTTTCCATGGACAAATGAGCCTGTGGCTCTTTTCTGTTTTTATACTCACTAAAACTAAATGATGTTTTGGGTAACTTTATATATATGCTGAAATAGATGGCCTGAATTTGGTATGTGCTACCTCCAAACTTCAGAAAGCAACTGGATTTGGGAGGTTTAATTCAGTGTGTGTGGCTTTATTTAAGAGCAGGACTTTCAATTTTGTGCAATGTCTGAGAGCCAGTTTCCTGCTCTTCAGTATTCTGTTGATTTTAGTGACGTTCTAATATTACAGATGGGACAAGAGGCCTGGGTCCTACCTTAATGATCTGTTTTGATGCTCCTGAGCAGTAAGATCTGAATGATTCTCCAGAGTTTGAGTCCCCAGGGCAATCCAGTCTTACATAGGAGCCTTCATGCGCCAGTTACACTCACCCTACAGAGGGACAGGGCTTGGTTGCCTGTTCCTCTGTAGCAGGTAAGTTCATTCAAGTTTCATTTGCAACTAAGAGAACACTGTTCTAATATTTTTCTGCAGTTCTTTCTTTGATTTTGATGCTTCTATTACCACTGTAAGGCTTATCCAATTTTTAGTTCAATAATATTAATGAAAGACATTAATAATCTTGATAATACTGATGTTAGCCCCATTCACCACCATTTCACATAGAATAGATTTGCTGCATTGACATGGACAATTATCCTGATTTTCTTTATATATGCCTTCAATTGAAGCATACATTTCACAATCATGAATACTCCTTAGCCCTAGCTGATTAAGTGCGGACTCCTCAATAGATGTACGTGTGACGTCTACATCTAGGATAAAAACTAACCCTTACATTATAAGCTATAATACAGTATGCACTTCATCCGGGGGGGGGAGTGGTCAAAGCAGGTGACTTTTCTCAACACCTCAGCCTTTAAGAAATTCAGTGAGTGAAAAATTCTTAAATAAATTTTCACTGTGCAAATACAGAATCGTAAATATTTTGATGGATTTGTGATTATATAAAAGCTAAATAGAGTAGCATTGCACGCTTTCTCTGTGGTGCATATAATACATTTTCTGACTTCACTGGATTACGTATTTATGTATTTGCTCACATTTTTCATTAACTATGCACGTGCTTTACTGCTTGCTAATGTTAGATGTACTAATGTTAGCTAGTGCTGATATTTTTTTCTCTTTTGTTTAATGCAAGTGCAGTTGGAAACACCAAGAAACTTGAGAGACTCAGCCTGATAGCATGAGGTAGGTTTTCAAGGAGAACACTGAGCTGAGTAACTCTCCTTTTTCATTTTTGGTTTCTTGATTATACTGAGTTATAATTGTCACTCACCCCCACGAATCTTCTCCTTGTTGACTGGCTGCCAGGAACCTGAGTGTGAAGGTCACCTTTGCCCTGCTGGGTTTCACAGATCACCCAGAGCTCCAGCTGCCTCTCTTCCTCGTGTTTCTCTTCATGTACATTATCACTGTGGTAGGAAACTTGGGGATGATAGTACTCATCAAGGTTAACCCCAAATTCCACACTCCCATGTACTTTTTCCTTAGCCACCTGTCATTGGTCGACTTTTGTTACTCTTCCATCATCACTCCTAAGTTGTTGGAGAACTTGGTGGTGACAGACAAAGGCATCTCATACTTTAGCTGCATGCTGCAATATTTCCTGTCCTGCACTGCTGTGGTGACCGAGTCCTTCCTGCTGGCAGTCATGGCCTATGACCGCTTCGTGGCCATCTGCAACCCTCTGTTGTATGCAGTGGCCATGTCACAGCGGCTTTGTACCCTACTAGTTGGATCCTACCTCTGGGGTATGTTTGGTCCCTTGGTACTCCTGTGCTATGCTCTACAGCTCAACTTTTCTGGACACCGTGTGATCAACCATTTTTTCTGTGAATACACTGCTCTTATTGCTGTCTCAAGCTCAGATATACACATTCCACATCTGTTGCTTTTCGGCTTCGCCACATTCAATGAGGTGAGCACATTACTCATCATCCTCACGTCCTATGTCTTCATTTTTGTGACTGTGCTAAAGATCCGTTCTTCCAGTGGACGCCGCAAAGCCTTCTCGACCTGTGCCTCCCACCTGACCGCCATCACCATCTTCCACGGAACCATACTCTCCCTCTATTGTGTGCCCAACTCCAAAAACTCTCGGCAAACTGTCAAAGTGGCCTCTGTGTTCTACACAGTTGTCAACCCCATGCTGAATCCTCTGATCTACAGCCTGAGAAATAAAGATGTGAAAGATGCCTTCCAGAAACTCATAACCACAAAAGTGCCACATCACTGAATTAGCATCCAGAGATGCTGTCAGCTGGAGTGAGCAACCTGAAGAAAACTTAAAGTCCTTGCAATGTGTGAGGATTTTCTAGATGATTTAATGTATAAATTGATATCAGAAAGCAAAGAAGCTTGATTATAGGCTAGTTCTGAGATAACTCCACAGGATTTCAATCAATTAAAAAATGTTTATCTTTTAATTCTTAAAAATCAACCAACCACACACACACACACACAAACTTCAAATATCATTTCTTTTTCAATGTTTGAATGAAATTACTGAGAGACTGTCAATTGACCATAGAAACGACTTTTCTGATTTGTTAATGGATTGATCTTGAGTGCCTGGCCTTTGCAGTTTTGTGATTGAAGAGGTGTGTCTTTGTTGGGAAACATGGATGGATCTGCTCTGTGTTTAAAGGAGGGATGGTTCCTCATTATTCATAGAGTGATGTGAATTCTGCAAATGGAAACTCTGTACTTAAAACAGTCATCATACTGTACGAAGGACATGGGGCAAGTGCAAGTATATGTGTTGTATAGAGAGGATGCAGGTACAAGGCACTAGTTTAGAAATGGTGGGCGCAGTGGAGTCAAAGCAGGAGATCCAGCCTGCTGATTTTAGATTAGGTGCCTTTTTCCATAGACATCATGAGGCTCATTATATTCTTCAGGCAAGGTAGTCCCTGGAGTAAATCCATTGTTTCTTGATGCTGTTTGTTTATTACTCACCAAACTGTTGCAATTCCAGAATTATCATGTCTAAAAGTTTGCATAAGTGCTGTGTAGTGCATGAATTTGAATAAAAAAATTTCCAGGTTATTGAAGGGTTTTGTTTTGAAGTTTCTTTTCTAATGTTTATATGATTAAGCAGATGAGGATATCTGATAACAAACACCCCAAAATTAAATGAAACTCTAAAATAATTCTATCTCTATACATTGGAAATAAATTCCAAAGTTTCTGTTATTAAGATAGGGTCATGTTAGGACAAAATGTAACCACATAGGAAAAGAAAAATTAGCTTCTATCCTTATTTCATATACCAACCCAAACTTTTACAATAAAAATCTAAAATTTACAGTACTTGAACATTCCAAATTTCTTTGAAAAAATTATATAGAGTAATTAAACTAAATAAAAACTGAGAAAACTAGTATATTATTTAAATTGAAAAATGATGACCATATATAGAAACAGACAACACAAAATTAATGTTTACAAAGGAAACAGGCATCGCCTATAAATATATAAAGTGTAGTTCCACCTGACTTTAGAACTCCTACATTTAAAATAGGTCAAGGTATGATTATGAGTATTAAAACCTTGGGAAAAACGTTCACGAGCAATTTTAAAAGGAGATATTCAAGCTAACACTAGCTGAACGAAGAAATCAGAATAAACATTATTGGATGATGAGTTACTAATCAAGGTGCATTTCCTGATGGATGCAATTGTCTGTAGGAGCTATGAAAGATTCTTCTCTGAAAGAGGGAAGAAATAAACCGCTATTAACAGATTTTAGAGTTAAATATCCATTTCGAAAAACCAATGAGAAAACTTGTTAAATGAAACCCAATTCAAATTAGAAAAATATCTTCAAGACAATCGGTGAAATGTATACATGGATTGAGTGTTGAGTGATGTGAAGCTGTATTATTGTTATTGATTTTTTGGCATGAGTGTTTATTCAATTTTGTGAATGGTTACTCTCAAGTGGAGGAGCTTGGACAGGAACTCATGCCTGTCTGGGATGCTGGTATTACAGGTGGCAGCTTAGCCTGTACTGTCATAATGCTGGCCCCATGACTCAGTGTTTTCACAAATGTGCACTTTCAGAATAAAGAGCACTCCAGGTGGTCTTGTTCTCTAGGACAGCACAAAAGAATACCTGGACAGGAAACACACTGGAGGAAGGGAAAAATCATTGGCTCAAACATTCCCTGTAGTTAGCTGTTTCAGAACGACAGCGTTGATTGGAGTATTATATAACTTTTGCATGTTGAAGTAACCTAAGTGTTTACAATCACATTGATAAACATGATTGTATAATCCTACATTTGTTCTGCCAACCTGAACTTATTTACATAAAGATAGCTTTACAGGAAAAAGACATAAGGAAACGGATTCACTCCCTTTTCTACTATACCTAATGTCATTTTGAAATATTTATAATGTTCTGTTTTTGTTTTTAATGAGGGCATCCCTGTCTATTGAACAGCTGCGGAGAAATATTTTAAAGGGACTGTACATCTGAAACTTTCTTGCATTTTACTCTTCCTTTCCCCCAAAACTCAACACGCTTTTCCCCATTTACTTGCATAACCAACTCATTTCACAATCGGCCATATTCCGTATCACCTCGCTGCTGCCTTGCCTGCTCTCCTTCCTAAAAATGATATCCACAGTTACACTTCAAGGTACTATCATTGGGCCCAGTGCAATGACTCAGTGACTTGGTCTTCACCTTGCAAGCATTTAAACTTCATACAGACACCTATTTGTGTCCTGGCAGCTCCACTTCCTTCCAGCTCCCTTCTTGTTGCCAGGGAAAGTAAAAGAGGATGGTCCAAAGTCTTGCGACCATGCTCCTATGTGGGAGACCCAAAAGAAGTTCCTGGCTTCTGGCTCCTGGCTCCTGGCTCCTGGCTCCTGGCTTCAGATTGGCTCAGCTCCAGTTGTTGCGGTCATGTGGGGAGTGAACTAACAGATAGAAGATCATTCTATCTCCCCTCTATCCATAAATTTTATCTGCCTTTCCAATAAAGAATAGTAAATAACTCTTTAAAAACAACAACAACAATAAGAACAACAACAAAAATGAAGCACTACAATTGCTAGGGAATGATATATGTATATGTAACATGTAAAAAGACTTAACTATCAGCTAATAAATTAATTAAGTAGGAATGTAGAGTGGCAGAGAAAGAGGGAGAGAGACATATCCTAATGGCTCCAATAGCCCAGGGTTAAACAGGCCAAGCCCTGGAGCTGAGAATATCAACCGGGGCTTGGGCACATCTGCTGCATTCCCATGCACGTTGGCAGGGCTCTAGACTGAAAGTAGAGTAGTGGATATTTAGTCTGGCTCTCTAATACAGTTATTGGCATTGTAAGGGGTGTCTCATCCTGCTGACCCACAATCTGATGCACACACCATGCTGGCCTCTTATTAAATAATGTCCTATCATCTTGAAGTGCTGCTTTATATAGGTAAAAATGAATTTCTTCTCCTGTGTCTCACAAAGAAATATAACTTATGGATTTCTGGCATTGCAGATGGTAGCTTTATCTACTACATGACAATGCTGGGCATATAAGCCATAATTTTAAAAATACAGCTTAAGTATTTTGAGTACATTAGACATTAAACTTTGGTTTTGGAAAATACTTCGAGAATAATAGTGGCTTGCACACTATTTTACTGAAAAGAACTATTTGAGAATAAATTTAAGGGAAATACTTCCAGGCAAGGGAAAAACTGAAGGAGAGGATGATCAGGAAGGGGAATGTTAGGAGAGCAGAGTTGTTGGGGGAGACAGCAAGGGAAAGGAGTAACAGACAGGATGAGATTTGATGGCATTTGTCTCATGAGTATTTACCTTGACAAAAACTTCTGCTTGAAAACAGCTTTTTTTTTTAAGATTTACTATTCTAATTGGAAATGCAGATTTATAGAGATGAGGAGGAGGAGATACGGAGAGAAAGATCTTCCATCGCCTGGTAAACTCAAGTGGCCACAATGCTCAGAGCTAAGTTGTTCCAAAGCCAGGAGCCAGGAGCCAGGGTCCCAAGACTTTGGGAAATTCTCTACTGCCTTCTCAGGCCATAAGTAGAGAGCTGGATGGGAAGTGGAGCAGCTGGAACATGAACAGGTACCCATATAGGATCCTGACTCTTGCAAAGTGAGAATTTAGCCCTTGCATCATCATGCCAGGCTTTAACTTTCAATAAATAATGAATTCATGATATTTACATACTCACCTTCTTTTAACACACCAACTTTACTATATGGGGAAAAAGTGTTTTAACTGTTTATTAATTTTTGTGATTGACTGTATTTTGTAATTATGGAATAGTATGAGAGTCAGCACATGACTATGGAAGATGGCCTTAATAAAATACAATATTTAATATAAAAGATATTTTAAAATATTTTTAATTATTTTTATTGGAAAGTCAGATATACAGAGGGGAGGAGAGACAGAGGAATATCTTCCTACAGATGATTCATTCTCCACATGGCACAAATAGCCAGAGATGTGCTGATTTGAAGCCAGGAGCCAGGAGGTTCGTCTGGGCATCTCACATGGATGCAGGAGCCCAAACCTTTCGATTTTCATCAACTGCTTTCCCAGGCAACAAGCAGGGAGCTGGATGGGAAGCAAGCAGGGCTGTCAGGACATGAACTGGTGCCCATATGGGATCCTGGTGCATTAGCTGCTAGGCTATCACACCAGGCTCATAAAATATCTCTTATTGCTATAGTTTCCCCACAAGCTCTCCAGTATGTTATAATTATATCAGATAACTCTGATTTATTTTAATTGCCTACTCTGTGACCTCAAGAGACCAGGCTGATAGTCTCCAGGGTTCATGTCTCCTAGGCTGTGACTCTACATATAAGAATGCACAAATCACTCTTAGATGGGGGACTTCCTACATTTGCCATCACCAGGTTTGTAATTAGATTGTAAAGACACATTTTATTTCAACCTTGAAAAGAACTTCGTAGGAAAGAATTTTACCTTTAGATTAGGATTGCTTTGGGAATAGATATGTGAAGGCACAACAAACAGATGGTACACTCTTGCAAAGGTCTGTCTTTGAGGACTTGCTCAGCTAAGACCCTCAGGAGTCCCGTGAATAACAGCTGGGGTCAGGGAAGGGAAGAGCTGTATGAACTTGAGGGATGTGTGTTGTCTTGTCTCTTTGAATTTTGGAGAAAATAACCATAGCAAAATGAACAAGCAATTAAAATAAAATCAAGTAAAATTGGGTGGACTAAAATGTATAAAAGGCACCATTCTTTCTTGTATTTATTTATTTTTAAAATTTACTCATCTTTATTTATTAAAAATATGAATGCTTTAATAATGTGCATGTCATCCTTACACAGGGACCTTGCTAATCTTCTCTGTATTGTTCCAGTTGTAGTGTAAGTGTGGCCGAAATGAGCACAGAGCCATTTTTAAGCTTATACGCAATAGACACAAACACTGAGACCAAAAGTAACAACCAGTTTTGGAAGCAGAAACCTATAGAGAGGATTTACATTTTTTTTTTTAATTTCTTGAACTCAAAAGTTTAAAATGTTTAACTAGAAATTTAATTATAGCCTTTGGATTATTAGAGCTATTACATTAAATGTAATACTGTTTTAATGTGTTCAGTACCTAAGATTGTTGTATATGATAGGAAGAAAAAAAATGTGACAATTACAATGCCTGGCTTTCAAGTATTTCTCAGGTTTGATTTTAAGAAGATGATAATACTTCATTGAAGGTATATTTGGTACTCAAAGTCACAGAGTGTAGGAACAGATCTGGGCCCTGGAGTAGCTAGAGGGTGCATGGGATCGAATCACTTTCTTGAGGGATTCCCTGAAATCTGCCTTCTTTATTGTGTGACCAAGACACCCTTAATAAGAGTAACAGAGAATCCTGGCTGTGACTGCATCTGAGGGCTTCTGAGTTCCATCAGGAAATGATATAACTCTCCCCGATAACCATTTTCTCATGAAATATCTCCATATCACAGCCATATTTTATGTTTTTAATCCCTCAGGATGATCTAGAGATGGAACAATATTCTAGATATCTTGAATCAACTAAATAAAAAGTGACACAAAGCGGATAGGAAATTTTTAGATCAGAGCCTTTACTAGAGTTAGCCATTCCTAGTTGAGAAAGGTCTTAATCTTGAAAAAACCAGTTCTTGTTCTTATGAATCTGACACGCATGGTGCTTTCTGGTGTAACTCAGCACGTATATTCTCAATGTTTTTATAGGACTAGTGATTCATTAAGCAGACAGTGTGATTGCTAATCAGGAGAGCGTGGTAACATGTGGTACAGGAGGCGATTCTGGTGTAGAGAAGTGGAGGCATGCCTGTGAGTCTTGGGGTCAGAGCTCTCCTAAAAGATTTGTGGATTGCACGTCATTCGCATAGCAACGGGAATGTTAGTTTTTCTCTTACTTCCACTATTCATCTCTGAATTAAGAAAGTAAGCTAAGGTAGCCTAAGATCTTTTGCAATCTTAAATTTCTCCCACATGGAGGAAAGATAGTTGAAATTACTTGAATTAAGAAGTATAATTTCAGGAAAAAAACAAGTAAACTTTTTATCAGACTCATTGGTTCAAAAATGAAAGTGCTATATGGATTTAATGTCACAAGCATTAAGTGTAAGAGTTCTCCATCTTTAAAGTGGATGCGTGAATATTTGATGTACAATTAATTTGCTTAGGTATTATTGATTTTGTGGCTGATTAAAGTATTGGGATTTTCTATCATGTTATGTTAGGTTTATTTCTCCTTATTTGAAATGTTTATGGAGAGCTTAAAAATATTACACAAGGATTTGATTTAAAGCACCCATAAATTTGCTTTAATCTCATTTTCCTACGTTTGTACAAAACTATAATTGAAGCTTTAACATTTAATTCAATAATTGTTTTCTCCCCCAAAAAACAAATTTTTAAATGATCATAGTCTTGCATGAAAAACACCAAGAGTCTGACACCAGGAGTCCACCTCACTCTATAGACTAAGGGAAATCAACCAGAATTTACTTCTTTACTCATCATTATGTTTCTGTTTCCAGGATTAAAAACTTTCACTAGCACAAATCAGAAACCATGTCACTGTCAAGCAGAAATAAAAGTGGGGCCACGTTTACTCTCCTAGGCTTCTCCGACTATCCAGAGCTGCAAGTGCCGCTCTTCTTGATTTTTTTGGCCATTTATAGTGTCACTGTTGTTGGAAATATTGGGATGATAGTGATTATCAAAATTAACCCCAAGCTACACACCCCCATGTACTTTTTCCTCAGCCACCTTTCATTTGTGGATTTTTGCTATTCTTCCGTTGTTGCTCCCAAGATGCTGGTGAACCTGGTCATAAACGACAGGACCATTTCATTTTGGGGATGCATGCTGCAATTCTTCTTCTTCTGCACCTTTGTGGTAACAGAATCCTTCTTATTGGCTGTGATGGCTTATGATCGCTTTGTGGCCATTTGCAATCCTCTGCTCTACGTCATCACTATGTCTCCAAAGCTCTGTGTCATGTTGGTGATTGGGTCGTACACGTGGGGAATGACATGTTCCATGGTACTGACATGCTCTGCTTTAAAATTATCCTTCCCTGGTGTCAACACTATCAATCACTTCTTCTGTGAGTTCTCCTCACTTCTCTCCCTTTCCTGCTCTGACACTCACACCCACCAGCTGCTTCTGTTCATTTTTGCCACCTTCAATGAAGTCAGCACACTCCTCCTCATCCTCATGTCTTACGTGTTCATCGTCGTGACCATCCTCAAGATGCATTCAGCCAGTGGACGCCGCAAAGCCTTCTCCACCTGCGCCTCCCACCTGACTGCCATCACCATCTTCCATGGCACCATCCTCTTCCTCTACTGTGTGCCCAACTCCAAGAACTCCAGACACACCGTCAAGGTGGCCTCTGTGTTTTACACGGTGGTGATCCCCATGTTGAACCCTCTGATTTACAGTTTGAGAAACAAGGATGTCAAAGACACTGTCAGTAAGCTAATGGACATGAAAGTCTTTTCCCTTTGAGAATATTATTTTAGTGAGTGTTATTCATGAGAAATACTATGTGTTCAAGAAACACTGCTTTTAAAAAATGTTTTTAAATAAAAGAAAGTAAATAGTGACTCATGCAATAGAAAAGATTTTGGATCAAAAGGTCAAACTTGGTTCAGTTTTTCAGCAGTCTTTCTCATCTTTAATGTTTTGCCTGTAAAATTTAACCTGTTTTAGCTCAAAACCCTGATTTTAAATTTTTTTAAAAATAAACACATCCATATAATGAAATATAGTTCATATTACTCAATAATCATGAATTCTGTTCCTTCTTACAAGTTATTGGGAACAGAATAGGTTCTGTCCCTATTCTATTTAGCCAATAAGCAGCTAAATCTTTGCCTTGTGTGCATCAGGATCCCATGTGGGTGCTGGTTCATGTCCTGGCAGCTCTGCTTTCCATTCAGCTCCCAACTTGTGGCCTGCAAAAGTGGCTGAAGATATCCCACAATCTTGGGACCCTGCACCCATGTGGGAGATTCGGAAGAAGCTCCTGTTTCCTGACTTTTGGTCAGCTCAGCTCCAGCCATTTGGGGAGTGAATCATTGGTCAGAAGATCTTTCTCTCTGCCTCTTCTCCTCTCTGTATATCTGACTTTCCAGTAAAAATAAAACAAAATAATACTAAATCTTAATACAAATGAAAATCCCTGTTGAGACACACTCCTTACCTTCAAGAACATGAAATCCGGTTTTGTTTGGAGGGCAATAACACGGCTATTGTGTAACAAAGAAGTTTATAGAGCACACAGGAAAATTAAAATTCATTTAAGGCTAGTAGAATCATGTCTTCATGAAACAGATGTGTTGTGAACAATGCTTTGGGAAGGACAATGGGTAGAGTGTTAAGAAACACATTACAGTAAGGACGAGATTTTAGGAGAAAATAAGAAATAAAACAAGAGGTTAAAATGTAATACTGAGTCAAAGTACCGACAAATACTTGATTAAGCAATTAGTGTGTAATGTGCTTGTGTGAAAGCAAAAAGAAAGAGGGAGAGAGAGAATAAGAGTAAGTTATATTGTATATACAAGACACTTGGTATGAAGAAAAAATGGAAATAAGTTACACTGAATATCTTGAACATGTCCTTAAAGGAACTCCACTCTGATGTCTAATAATCTGTAACAAACACAATCAATGATTTAGAGAATCTTATTTCAAAACCAAGTATGATGGATACTGACTCAATCTACTGTGACTTTTTAAAATTTTTTGCTTATGAGGTGCAACAAATAACAGTATTTTAAAACCTTTATTTTCCAGACCATGGACATAATCTCTGAATAAATGTTGGGAATTCATTTACTTAAAACAATGTTAAATTCTGTTGTTCTGAGTAAAATTGGCACCTGCGGCACCAGCATCCCAGATGGTTCAAGTCCTCAGTATTTTACTTGACATTCAGCTCCCTGCTGGTTTACCTGGAAAAGCAGCAGAAAATGGCTAAAGTCCTTGGGCTTCTGCATCCACATGGAAGAACTGGATGAGGTTGCTAGTTTGACTTTGAACTGGCCCTTTCCTGGCCATTATTGCTATTCTGACCAAAGGCAATGAATTGATCTCAGACCTCAAAGTGGTCTCTTGGCATCGAATCTCAAAATCTTTAAGAAGTGTCATTGGAACAAGTACAGACCAGCACTTTAGAGGTTTCAGGTACATCGATTGGTGAGAGCTTCATGCCTACAGGATATTTTTCAAGTTTTTTTTTTAATATTATTCTTTCAGTTGTTGGGCATTTGATTTTGTTCCTCCATTCTTACACAATAAAAGAGGAGACTTTTCTTGGTTGCGAGAGAAACGGCTCTGAGGCTTTAGGTAGGAAAGGGGGCTGAGAAAGTTCCCCAATTTCAGGAACTTATTAGATCAATTAATCAATCATGTACAATTTGGAAGTGAATTAGTCCAATCTCAGATTGTTTTGGTTAATGGAAAAGATCGGATGCCACCTGGGATGCTTGCATCCTGTATCAGGGTGCCACTGTTTGAGTCCCAGCTACAATTCCAGCATTAGTTTCCCATTTATGTGCTTTCTGATTGGCAGCTGGGGATGGCTAATTATTTGGATGTCCATAAGTCAGGTAGGACATCTTATTGGATTCCTGGTTCTGGGATTCTGCATGATGCAGCAATGGCTATTGTTATTATAATGGAGATTTTAAGAGTAAGCCAGTAGGTAGAAGATGTTTCTCTGTCTCTGCCCCTTTCAAATAAAAAATGAATATATTGTAAGAATCTAGTATATGCATGAAAAACTTGTACTTGTTTAAGGGGTAACATGGGATGTTTTGTGTAATGTCCAATTGGAATATCTGCATCATTTCTCAACCTCTAATAGTTAATTTACAGAAAAAATAATCCAATGGTCTATCTTCTAGTTTTATTTCTCAGAATGAAATATATAGTACATTAAGATTATCGATATTTACCTAATTTTTCAATAGAACACCGGAATTTATCATTCATATTTCACTGTAACTTAGTATTTGATTACTGAATTTTCCCCATCTGTTATTTTTAACCTCTTTAAGTTCACTTTGCTGTTGCTTTTTAGCAATTCCTTAAAATATTTGCTTTTTCAGGCCAGAAGTGGTAGCCTAGTGGCAAAGGTCTTTGCCTTGCACACGCCAGAATCCCATATGGATGCCGGTTCTAATCCCAGTGGCCTTGCTTCCCATCCAGCTCCCTGCTTGTGGCCTGGGAAAGCAGTCAAGGACGGACCAAAGCCTTGGGACCCTGCACCCACGTGGGAGACCCGGAAAGAAGTTCCTGGCTCCTGGTTTCAGATCAGCATGGCTCCAGCTGTTGCGGTCACTTGGGGAGTGAATCAGTACATAAAAGATCTTCCTCTCTGTAAATCTGCCTTTCCAATAAAAATAAAACAAATCTTAAATAATGTATTTGCTTTATCTAGGATCACATCAGCTCCAGTTAAAATACTAGTAGTCAAGGTTAACATTACATAATTAGCAAAGGAGCCAATCTTGAAGACAGATCTTGCATCATTTCTGGTTCCTGGTTTCTAGCATTGGAATACAAAGTCGGCCATCCTGGTGTTTCTGTGTATTTGGGGGTGGACAAACCACAGAGCCTCATTTCTCCTTTCTCCATCAAGGAATGTGTGTGTGAGATGCACAGTTTACACATGTGTGCCTTAGTCACTTCATTTGTAGAGAGCACGGCACGGATAATCTCACATAGGTTTGGAAAGATGGCATGCTCTCATTGTTGTACTTGGGATAAAATCAAGCACTTGGAAGGTCGAGTAAATGTGAGCAACTTTCATACTTCTCATAAAGAGAGTTCAGTATCCTCACCTCTTGCTGGTACGGTTCAGACCCTGTGCACTCCAGAATGAGTCTGTAACAGAGCTTACAAGCAAGAGCTCTTCATGTGTTTCCTAGTGACATGCTGAGTGCTGACCCACAGACACAAGGTGCTAATGCTGCACACCTTGTCTGCAGTGCATCATGGGCTACAATTGGAAACATGCATGATGATAAGAATGCGCCCAGAGACAGAGTGTTTTCACCTGGGCTCATATTCCATGGTGGCAATAATTGACTCCCTAGATAGAGTGGCTTACTTGCTATTCCACAAACATAAGAGATTACTTTGGAAAGCTGTTTGAACAAGACCCTCAAGAATACACTCACAAATATAAAGTCTTTAATATTTCCATCAGAGCATCTTCAGCAACAGCAGAGAAAATGTTGTCTTAACACAGGTTGGTTAAACAATCCTTTGTTTTTCAGAATGGACTTGAAAGATATGTGTTTCAGAAACTGGAATGTAATTTGTATGTTTCTCATGGGCCAATTGGTTCTACGTAAGAGAAGGAGGAATTGTGTGGTAGGGAGACTTTGTTTTTATGCCTGTGCTTTTTTTTCTTTCCTAATTTAAGAATATCTTAAGAAATGCCATGCTTTGAATACTTTTCCTTTCTTTACAGATTTAGATTTACCTTATTTTGATTTACTTCCCAAGTGGCTGCAACAGCCCAAACTGAGCTGATCTGAAGCCAGGAGTCAGGACCCTCTTCTGAGTCTCGCATGCTGGCGCAGGGTTCCAAGACTTTGGGTCGTCCTTTATTGCTTTCCCAGGCCACAAACAGGCAGCTGGATGGAAGCCGGGGTGGCTGGGGCATGAACTGGTGCCAAAAGGAGATCATGGTGTGTGCAAGGCAAGGTGTTTAGCCTCTAGGCTATTGTGCCAAGCCTTTGAATACTGCTTTATGAAAGCATTTTTCTCATTGTGTATCAGGGAAAATTGGTATTGGAAAAAGAAATAACTTAGTCTGTAGAACCAAATACGTAATGATAACTACTTACATGAGAGAGAGAAAGCAGTGGGAACCAATTGGTATGAATGCTTATTTTCTCTCTCTTTGCTCCTTTCTCACATGAATCCCTTCCAATGTAACATGGTAACGACTGCATGGAGATAATACTTGGTGATCAGAGTGGCCGTAAAGTGGGGCTGCCGTGATGTGGCTGTGGGCTAATCCTCTGCCTTCAGTGCTGGCATATGAGCACTGGTTTGTGTCCTAGCTGCTCCATTTGCGACCCAGCTCTCTGCCTTTGGCCTTGGAAGGCAGTGAGGATGGCCCAGATCCTTGGATTCTTGCACTCACATGGGAAACTCAAAGGGAGTTCCTGGCTTCTGGGATTGGATCTTCTCAGCTGCAGCCGTTGTTACAATTTCAGGGCTGAACCATGGAAACGGAAGCCCTCTCTTTCTGTTTCTCCTCTCTGTAACTTTGCCTTTCCAATAATTTTTTTTTTCTTTTTTAAAGAGAGGTGGTAAGAAGCCAGCAGAAGTGTCTGGGAAGGAACATGGACATATAAACCACCTCTGAAAGCACAAACAGGAATAGTTGGGATTTTCTGCAGGACTTGGAAATGTCTCTTTATGCAGGCTCTTCAGTTACGGCATCAAGGCAACATTTTGTTGTGTGTGTTGACGGTGGTGGTGGAGACTGTCATTTGTATTGAGAGCGCTAGATGTTAGTCACAGCTCTTTCTTGTACTGGCAATCAGGCTATCGGAATACATTAGGGCAACGTACAGCCTGAAAATAGAGATCGCTTTTCAGAACAAGGAAACATGGCTTTCCCTTCCTAGGCACTGGAAGAGAGAAAGTCATGTAGTTACATTGAATCTCCCACGCAGGTGCAGGAGCCCAAGAACTTGGAACACCCCTGTGGTTTTCCCCAAGTGTGTTGGCTGGGATCTGGACTGGAAGTCAAGCACCAGGTCTTTGAGTTGGTGTCCACAGCAAATGCCAGCAAAACAGGCAGCAACTTTACTCACAATGCCACAAAGCAGGTCCTCTGCAGTCAAAATTCAAAATTAATTCCTTATGCACTTAATCAATTCTTTACAAATATTCACAGCTTCTGATTTGGATGTGGGTATCTTTGTCAAAATTATTTGATTTTAAATAGTATGGAATAGGAAATTTGTGATCTATGTAATTTATGTTTAATTGTCATTGTAAATCTAATGGGAAATATATCACAGTTATCTTTTTTCAAGATAAACAATAACATTTGCCATTAATAACAACAAATGTTTGATAACAGTGATTCAGTTTGCCAAACAAATGTATAAAGGCTAAATAAGCATGATTTATGAAGTTTGTAAGAGCACCACAGCCCTGTACGATGAGTGATTTTGAACAATGTAATTATTAAATTAATTATCTCAATTTGATGGAGAAAATGATAATGTGAAGTACAAAACTTATATTTGCTACTGAAGTATATCAATCATGCACAAACATTGAGGGCTAAAATTTAATTATATTTTTACCAATTTTATGGAAATCTCAGAGAAAAGTAATACATATTTTAAAATTATTTTCCAGGACATAAATATTTATAGTATTATTTAAAGAGTCTTCCAAGGAAGCGAGATTTTAATTTCACCTAGCAGCAAAGAAATCACATTTTGCAGTAAAAATCTTCCACTTATTTGGAAGTACAATTAACTATCCTGTTTCTCCTGATGGCTTTTTTTTTTTTTTTTTGCTTGTTTTCTCTTTTTTTTTTTTAGCAGAAAATTTGGAGAGAAGGGATACTCTTTAAAGGTTATGTTATTTAATGGAGGAAAACTTTCAGACTTTTACTGCAGCTAACTTGACCTGGGGCCATGGATCAGGAAAACTGCACGGCTGTGACGGAGTTCCTGCTCATGGGATTGTCAGATGTGCCAGAGTTGAGAGGCCTTCTGTTTCTGATATTTCTTCTCATCTATGGAGTCACAGTTGTGGCCAACCTTGGCATGATTGCACTGATCCAAGCCAGCTCTCAACTTCACATGCCCATGTACTTTTTTCTCAGCCATTTGTCTTTCGTGGATCTCTGCTATTCCTCCATCATTGTCCCGAAGATGTTGGCTAACATCCTCACCAAGGACAAAGCCATCTCCCTCCTTGGCTGCATGGTGCAATTCTACTTATTTTGCACGTGTGTGGTCACTGAGGTCTTCCTGCTGGCGGTGATGGCCTATGACCGCTTTGTGGCCATCTGCAACCCCTTGCTCTACACGGTCATTATGTCTCAGAAGATCCGTGTAGAGCTGGTTTCTGGCTGCTATCTCTGTGCCTCAGTATGCTCTCTGATTCACTTGGGCTTAGCTTTTAAGATCCCATCTTATAAGTCCAATGTGATTAATCATTTCTTCTGCGATCTACCCCCTCTTTTAAATCTTGCTTGTGCTGATGTCACTGTAAATGGAGTGCTACTGTTCATTGTGGCCACATTCAATGAGACTGTCACTATTGTGATCATCCTCACCTCCTACTTGTTCATTCTCATCACCATCCTGAGGATGCGTTCTGCAGAGGGAAGACACAAAGCATTTTCCACCTGTGCCTCCCACCTCACAGCCATTGTTGTCTTCCATGGAACAATCCTGTCCATTTATTGCCGGCCCAGTTCAAGCAGCGAGGAGGATGTTGACAAAGTGTCCGCGATATTCTACACAGTAGTGATCCCCATGCTCAACCCCTTGATCTACAGCCTTAGAAACAAAGATGTGAAGGAAGCTCTCGGGAAATTAATGGGCTCCAAAACCCATTTCTGAGGAATATGTCAGTTAGCATGAATCTGCATCCTAAGCTAGACTCAGCAGAAGGAAAAAAAAGATAATGTGTAGGGTTGATATGAACACTGAGAAGTCAGGTATTCTGTGGGATGCTATTGAAACTTAAATGTTTTGTTCCTCTACAACCCTTGTGAGTCTAATGAAGCATGCCCAAAGCCGCCCTTTTTTTCCTGTATCTGATGTATAATTTTTTTTTTGAAAAAAAGAATGTGCAATGTGCTGTAGTGAAAAATCACAGGAGTACCACAGTATGTGCTGCGTGAGAACTGCATACATGCACATATGCAATGATTGGGGTTTTTGGCTCCTTTATTTTTACACGTGTTATTTTCTCTTTATTGACCATTATTGTTGTAGTTTCTAGTGTTCTCTGAAATTTGGATGCCCTCTCCTGGATCCTGAACCCCAAACTATTTGATTTTTTTTAAATGAAATTGAACAGCATTTTAAACCTGTAATCATTCTTTTTGTAGGTGAAAAGCTTCCTGAAACTTATTAGTGATTTCTGACACTTGTATATAAAACATACCCCTTCATTCAGTTCTGATTTGCATGTACCACTAATAGATTATTTGTGATTTTCCTTTGATTTTTATCAGGGTATAAATTACATCTGTTTTTGGAATGAAGCTTCTGTCCTGGGAACTATAAAGATTTGAATTCATAAAAACCCAAATCAATGTTTTGACCTAGATTTTTAATTTGTTAAATAGTAAATCACTTCTACCCTGGTCACCCTCCCTGTTGACATTAGCTAATATTATTATCTCATGGCCTTTAGTTGAAATTAAATTTTAAAAATATATTTTTTTATATATATAAAATGACACAAGAATCTATTTATTGAGTGTACAAATGAATGTGGAGATGAATTTGAGATGTGAGCTATTTAGGCATTTTTGCATTTTAACAATTAGTGGCATATGTTAAGTCCCATATACTTTTTTTTTGGTGAACATAAAATTACTAGTGTGTTAATGATATGGAATAACATAGCAACATACAGCACTTTGATGTCTGTTAAGAATTTTGAATGACTCTACAATGCATTCACACTATCATGAGATGTTTATCAATCGTTATTCAGTCAAAGAAAAGAAAAACCTAGCAGGATTCATGCTTGAATGGTAGGTAGTAGAGGACTGAAAGAATACAGAGAATTACTATTGATGGAGTATTAGCATTAGGAAGCAGCTATTGATTTTGACATGGGGGAGCTAAGGATGAGTCATTGTCAGTCCGGATCGCAGGGTTGAGAGTGACTCCGTTCAGTTGACCGGACCTCTGAAGAAGGTACACAAACCACAGTGTTTCTGTGCCTCTGGAAACAGGATTAACATTCAGCACATTTTAGGTTAATAGAAAGTTAAAAATACGGAAATTTTCTCTTATTCTCTTGCCATGTTTCCTCTTTGCCTTTCTCCCCCTTCTCTTTTGTCTCACAGGCAGAATTTAGCGGGGAGCTAGCAAAAGAGCCTCGAAGGATGCAGCTGGCTAGTGTCCAGGTAGAGAGGTGGTAACCAAAAAACAGGAGGACCTATGGGCACAGAGGTCAGAGGTCACAGGCCCAGCTTCTGAGGGACTCGCAATTCATGCTGCAAGAAGGAGAAATCTATTATCGCTTCTCATCTCACCAAAGTGTGTGTGAGTCTCTCTCTCTTAACACCTGAACTAAATGCAGACCCTCTAAGGTTTAATTTACCTTTTTACTTATAGATGCAATTGATTCTGAGTGATATTTGCAAACTAAATGCAATGTAAATTCTCAATCACTCTTTAAGGTGAAGCTTAGGAAACAACGACAATGGAAATCATATGATAAAAGTAATGTCTTCTCCATCATTTTGAGTAAGGAAACATAACTACAATTCATGGAAAATGTTCTGGAAACACTTTGCATAGATGTAGTAAAATTGTACCAAAACTGATTATTTCTTAATTCAAATTTTCACAAGGTTTTAAAATACCTTTGTGTTAACTTTTATGAGTAAACCAGCAGTAAAAATGAACGTTGCTGTTTTCTCTGTAACATGCTGGTTGTAATTTTCACATGCTTACATACTGTTTTAGTGCTGATTTATATAAGAGCGTGCATTTTCCCCTGTGTCAAACTGAAAATGAGAGGTAGAAAAAAAATAAAATATAACGTATTAGATACAATCATCAAAGTTTCATTATGTCAAGTCTGTCTAAATGTTTTCTATTCACATGCCTTGCTCACATTTAAAAGAAATGGCAATACTCTCCGTAACAATTTGTGGGACATTCCAAGTTCTGAAAACATTAATACATAAGGGTGAAATTAGAAATGTATCATTATTTAGTATCATTCCCATTTTATATATTAGACATGTTTTCTAATATGTGGACCAATATTTAGTGTATTTATACTCATATAATTGGCAGTTCAACAAAATTTGATGACAAATCCTGTTCCATCCTTTGTGTTATCTTAAATTTGAATATAGTTTTTTTAACCTCCACTTTATCTTAAGCTTACTGGTACATTTTTGCTCTGTATATGTGTTCTGTAGGGAATGAATAAAAGCTTGAGTACACACTTTACACTCCAAACTCTACTGTAATGTTCTGAAGGAGAGTAATTTTAGAAAAATTTTATGTACTAGTTGAGACCTTAAAACTCAAGAGTCATCAATAGAGGAATGGTGGATTTATGACTGTTGATGAAGCATGACCCATCCATCGCCTACTGAAATGCATCATAAAACACTAACCAATAATAATTTACAAAAAGCTGAATAGTGTGTTTATTAAAATAACAAATGTGATTGCTTCGCACAGCATCACCGCTGGATGAGCAAGAGGAAAAGGCAGCCCTCACACTGGCCCCCAGTGTGCCACACAATCACACAGGGAGCAGAAATACAGAAAACAGCACAGTGTCTTCTCCTGCAACTTTGACTTGGTCCAAAGCATAACTGTCAAAGCCTCAATCATTGTCCATGTGTAAAAAAGCCTTTAAAGCAATATATTCTGAGAAAGCAGTAGAAAGTGACCTAAGTCTTGTGCACTTGCAAATACACAGGAGACCTGAACAGAGGTTCATACTCTTTGCAGTGGCTTGACCTAGCCCTAACTGTTATGGCCATCTGGGGAACCTAAACACTGGATAGAAGATCTTTCTCACTCTCTTTGTTTTCACTGTAACACTCTACATTTCAATTATTAAATGTTTCATAGCAGCTATGCAACACCAGGTTCTGATTTCTGAGAGCATCCTCCAGAAGCTTGACTTAGTCAGCCTTGTCCAAAAGCAGGGTGTTTTGTGATGTTATGAGAAGGAAAGTGGATGACACAGATTCACACCATTCCAGAAGAGCAATATAGATCGTGGCTCAAACATTCAGTTTGTGCAATTCCATCATGAGCCCTGAAGTCTGGGTGTACTTAGGCTTGATTTTCGTAATTGTTCTCCCAAAACAGATTTTTTAAAAACCCTGATGTAAATCCACAGAGATCAATTATTTCTGAATCTTAGAGCACATGGGCTGTCATTAAACATTTACTTAGTTACTTTTGCCTTAGAGATTAATGAGCTCAGGTTAGTGGCTGATTCCTCAGGAGCTTAAATTACAGTGTACCATACACATCTACATCTGCAGCATGAAAGAAATGTCTGAACCTCAGGTTTGTACACACCTGCTAGCCTCTGGGTACTGCAAAATGGAAACGAATGTGTTTATGGAGAGATAGGCATGACAAACATATGCACAACTCTTCTTTGTGAGGTAGACAGCATGCATGCTTGCCTTATCCTCTGCTTTTACTCTTAAAATGTCTTGTTTAAAAAAATATATGTATTTTTTAATTTGAAAGACAGGATTAATAACAGAGGAAAAAGGGAAAAAGGGGGGAAAGACAGAGACATCCTTTATTTGATGTTTCATTCTCCAAATGGGCTAGGCTGGTCTGAAGCCTGGTAGGGGCTCAGGCACTCAGGTCCTCATCTGCTGCTTTCCCAGACCACTAGCATGGAATCCCAGCCAGAGTGGACCAGCCAGGACCCCAATCGGCAACCCTATAAAATACTGGCTCTGCAGGAGGTTAACCTGCGGTGTCACAGTGCAGAATGATTTTGTATCTTTTGGCTTAGTACACTTTTTGTGAAAAAAAGGAATAATTCTGTTTGTAACATAAATTTTTGATGTATTGGAAAAGCTACAGAGTGAACAAAATGGCAAACTTTCTCAGTTTCTCCTCTTCCTTCATTTTTTTCCACACCAATGTCATTATGAAATATGTGATTTATGGCCAAGCAACTCCTTTCCTTCTGACAAGGTTGGGTTAACATACCTGTACCTGCACAGAGGTTATTTGTTTCTTTTCTCATTAAAGAAGTTCAATTCTTTAGATGGAGTGTAGATCCATAGACCATTTTTTATCAGCAAAACATTTCAAACAAACATTTCCAGGAGAATTTTTTTTACTCCCTAGCCCAGCAAGTACATCAATGCTTTAGGATGGGGTCAGGTGATAAGAGCAGCCTTGAACTTCAGATTATAAGCTTTTATCATTTCTTCAAAATTGGTTAAAGATTATCAGCATGCAATATCAGTGGGGCAAAACAAGCGATGTCCTTTTAATTGACCAGCAATCCAGATACTGAGAATAAGTAGTTTCTTCAAAGAATGAAAGTGTTTATTACAGTGACTCACATATGATATGTCAGATGGGGCTGTTCCAGGCATCGCCATGGTGAGGTTTATTCTGCTTCTCCAAAGAATGGTCATGGATCCAAGGGTTTTACACTCTTACAAATCACAGGGAGTCAGAGACTAGAAATTATCACAGCAGCACTTGGCATTCTTTAGGAATAACCCCTTAGTATCTTACTGGGCAAACTCATCTCTTCAAAAATGCTCTAGGTCATATTTGAACTTTAGAGTTGGAGAGCAGGTGAGTTGACAAGTGGCAAATCCCTTATGTGATAGAGAGAGACTCATTATGATATCTCAATGGTTTGCTGTTGAAAAGATATGGATAATTCCCTATAGATCATCAGAATTATCTGAGTCAGTTACAGAAATGTGCACAATGTAGTCATGTGAAGGAGTGAGCTTGAGTGCTATATCTATATCTATATCTATATCTATATCTATATCTATATCTATATCTATATCTATATCTATATCTATATCTATATCTATATCTATCTATATGCAGGACTCCAGAAAGTGGATAGAAATGGGTATTATGAAAAACCCATGTATGGATTTCAATGCTATTCACATCAGAGTAAGCTTCTCTTGCTTTTGTTTTTCAACAAAGTATTTGAAGCACCCTAGTAGGGAATGAAAAACAATGGACAGATCACACAAACGCTGGGAAGTTAAAAGGAAATCACTAACAATGGATAGACTGTTACAGACTTCTTTCATTACAGTTTCCCATATAAATTTTATTTTTGAAAATGACAATGTTTTATTTCAAAGGCTAAATTTACTGAAATCATCTCTAAAAACTCTGAACATATACAGATAAACGTGCTCTTTATCAAACCAGTGATATGATCACAAAAAGGAAATAATTACTCCAGTTTGATCTTATAAATTAATATTCATTGGGCCTGATTCAATGGCTCAGTCTTCTTGTACATGCCAGGATCCCATATGGGCGCTGGTTTGTGTCTCGGCTGCTCCACTTCCCATCCAGCTCCCTACTTGTGGCCTGGGAAAATAGTAGAGGATGGCCCCAAGTCTTGGCACCCTGCAAACAATATGGGGCTCCCCCATAAGAAACTCCTGGCTTTGGATCTGGCCAACTGGGAAGT